ACGGGGTCAGTAGTGCAGTCAAAGGACTGTCTACAGCAGCTGTTTCATTCTTGCAATATCGCGAATATATTATAAGGTGTGGGTCTTTCAGTGTTGGCAAATGCTGTACAACAGTAAAATGTATGGAGCTTTTCAAGCCCAGAGATTTTTTTTTATTTTGCATCTGATGTGATGGTTTAAACCCAGTTGTTTGTATGTGTGCAAACTAAAAAAGACAAAAATAAACTCAAATACAATTTCATGCATTCACATAAAAAAACTTGAACTCCAAAAGCCTTCGTTTTTGGCGCATGTTTTCCCAGTATATATTGTTGGTGTGCGAACACCTTCTGCATAGAGTTTTGTGCACTTTACGGGGTTTTTCACTCCCTCAAAGAGTCATTGCGAGCTTCGTGTACGCTGCTTGGTCCTGCATCACCCCCATGGTTGGCCTGTCTTTAATTCTACAGTTTGTGATGACGTCGCAGTGACGTTGCCAGTTTTTGACATTTACAACGTCATTATGACGCCAAATGCCCATGCTATTGCTGACAGCATGTTAGATCTAGGTCCTTGTACATTCACTGTGCCATCAGACCACGTACACTACTTGAGTGTCACGTAGCTTTTGATCAGCTTTTCTTGATTGCTTTTTTTGATATTCGTGCTGCATTAAAGCTACATACCACTTTAATGCTACAAAAGGCACACACGTTACTGCGCGTATTCCTTTATGACGACGTAATGGCTGAATAGCAAGTTCCGGACGACTTTACGTGTATAATTGCTGGTGTTTTAAAGTGCACTGTTCATTACACAGTAAGTAATCTTACGCGAAAGCTACACTGACACTGTAGCTACGTTGAACCTCACTGATTACACTGTACTAACCCACAGTTTATTCTTTTCCAGTTTTCACGAAAAAATATGCATTAAATAGCTGAAGTACGCACTGAAGACAGGCTATCGCTATTGCGTTGAAATCTTGAAGGTGAGGTCAAGGATCCTCTAAATTTACTTCTTTTTCAAAATGAAATACCAACTTTTTTCTCTTGCAAGCCTCATTCAGTGTGCTTAACAGGTAACTAGACAAAACATAACTACGAGAACATGAACGTCTGCCAGGTTTGTCGGAGTGGTTCACTGTAAAAAAAAGTTACCCCGAGGTCGGAGTAAAACGCTTGTCCTCTAGCGTCCCCCCTGTTCGGAGCAATTTTTGCTGAAATTGCGTAGCGCAAACGTAGTACTTCAGCAGATATTTCACTCCGGCCGACCGGAGCAATTGCGTGGTGCCGCCGGAGTACTTTTTGCTGGCATTTTTCTCCGGGTGGCTGGAGTGATTACGTCGCACCTCCGGATCATTCTTCGCGGGTATTTTGCTACGGCTATCCAGAGCTTTTTTGTGGTACCTCTGGAGTATTTTACGAATCTACTTACTTTGTCCGGACAGAATTTCAGTGAGGTGGATCAGTACTTCTTTAAAGTGTTGGCTCTGCCATTTATTTATTCTATGTTAATCGTTTCACGCAATAGTTAGATGAAGGCAGTCTCAATTCTGATGCAAGCACTGCAGAGTTACTGTGTATTCTTTTCCACAGAGCTCTAGCAGATGAAATTCAAGAAAACACTTGAGTTCTTATTATTTGATTTATTCAAAATGAGCTGACATTCCTAGAAAACCCATCATTTGGGAAAAGGAGACAAGAACAAACAAACTTGCAAAAGCGACCAAACACAAAACACAATGAAGCAGATCCCATGAAATCAACAGCACTAAAGTTTGAAGAGCAGCGCTTCGAAAGGAAGTTAATAATGCTGTAAATCGATTCACGACAAACGAAGAAAGCGCGGTCATCGAGAACAACTCTTCACCATCCCCGACGGACCATCCGTGAGATTAATTGACGACGCGAGGCTTGATCTGATTGCTTCCTGCGTGATTTAACAAAAAAATAATTATGCATGAGAACTGCAAATCATGCGAGAGGCACGGAAACTGAGAAAACTGAAGCCACGGACACTCAATAAATCCTATACAATCTTTAGGTCTATCAGGAAAAACAACTTCTAAAGCTGACCACACACACACACACACACACACACACACACACACACACACACACACACACACACACACACACACACACACACACACACACACACACACACACACACACACACACACGCACGCACGCACGCACACGCACACACGCACACACACACACACACACACACACGCACACACACGCACGCACACGCACACACGCCTCATACTAGCATTGCCAAATAATTTTGTACTCTCGGCTGCATGCTCCGCAACCAGCAGCAATGTAGTAATCTCTCCCATCTCCAACACAGAAAATACGGGTAGTATTTCGAAAGGGTGCCTTCTCCTTGCTCCCGTTCTTGCACTATAATGTCCCTTCCATCTTAGAATGTTGAGCCCGCTGTCATATGGGTTAACTTCACTGCGCCCCCCCCCCCCCCCCCCCATTTACAGAAACGTCGAGCACCGCAGGACTCATTCTGCCAAGCAACTCTTCTTTTTTTTTTTGCATTCCTCGTTTTTAGCAACGTCAATTTGTTCCGCCCCCCTCTCTCTCTTCCTGAAAGCACTACGTCCCGCAGAGTCCAGTATATTTCCAGATTATTATCTCAGATACCACTTATCCAACCAAAATAACTTTTTCACAAGTATGAGTGCATGTATGAGTTGCAAAAGTCTGTACCAGACGCATTGCTCTACCTCGATTCACAACATTTGTAAAGAATTAAAACTGATTTTAGCTATTCAAGTTTTATTAGTTTGGCTTACATATTCTGTCAAAAAATTTTCACGCAGTGGTAGACCTCGACCTGACATTTATTTATATGAAGGCGGAAAAATGTTACCTTGTAGGTGTACTGATGAGACCTAACACACTTTTCATCAGTTAGGTTTACCTATAACGATTAGTAACGTTTGATTAAATAAAGCTAAAACTATATTACGTTTAATATTGCATATCTAATCAGCACTCCAAATTTACAGCGACTGGATTCAATCTACCGAAGTTGTTATGGCGCAATCGCAGCGGAAAAAAGACGAGTACAAGAAAGTGAACAACAACAAACACCTGTAGTGTTCACTTTCTTTATCTCGTCTTTTTTTCTACATTTACGCCATATTGAATCAGTAGCAACTTGTTCACCTCTCCGTTTCGCTTTACGGAAGTTATGTTAAGGAAAAAAACACGTAGTCCAAACAACGCATTATTGGTACTCCGCTGATTTTTCAATGACGTCCTGTGAATTTAGCCTAATATTGATCGCAAGTGTCGTTTATCAACCGAACCTTATCTAATCTTAGCGCTACCTGAGAAGAATAACACAGGTGATTCAAAGAGAGCTCACTCACCATTTTTTTTTTTTTGACGCACCAGCCACCGCCGGGTTCCTCAACACTCACGAGATCACAATGTGTCGTCCCCTGCTAGGAACCATCAATCGATTACGGTTCGCACAACTTCCTTCTGTCGTTGATGACTTTCGTTGCATGCTTGTCACTTGTGATACCCGGAAGGTGCTCAGAACAATTTTCTTTTCTCCTACACAGCCGAACGCTTCGCACGACCCTCCCTGCACCGGCTTTTTCTGCGCCATGTTGGTTTGTGGAGAACGGCCTCCCGGTGGCGAGGCTGCCTACGTCACTTCTAGAACAGCCAACGAATGCCGCTGAGCGATGAGCAGGAGCACTTGGGCAGCATCCACCGGGGCAAAAGTGATGTGCCGGGGCATTTTCTGGGCAACCACGAGAGCATAATCAGAGAATTGGCCCCCGTTTTCTTCCGGTTTTCTTCGTCCGGCGCCCACCAGAGGAAAACGGTGGAAAACGAATGTATTGCTCTGTAATGTATTGCTCTGTGAGTGAGGCCACCGGAGCAGAGCGGGTGCATCATTCCCCGATTCCTCCCAGCTGGGTTCGTTTTTGTTTACAGTGTAGGAATAGTTATCATTACGCGTTAATGTGCTGAAAACCTTACGTGAAAAGCTCTCCCCTGTAAATATGAAGGAGGCCTATAGTAAGAAATCTAGTTTGCCTTTCAATATTCATTCCATCTGCCAGTCTTCGCGAACCATAAGGAAATATTTGAGCTGCAGTTCTTTTCGGCTTGTAAAATAGGCAGTTTTTCATAGGCACATTTGGTAATTTCTGAAGGTGCCCTGCATGTATCTTCACTCATCGTGATTGAATCTGCGAATTTTCTTACGTATTCTTTGACCCTAAGAAGCTTGATTTGGCAAGCTTCATGAATTATTTGAGCAATTGCTACCAGTGCGCGCTATTTTTTGTTAGCTTCTCCATAGCTCGATTCTCACAAAAAATTGTATTCATTCAGTTTTATTGATACGGAAAAGAAATTTTACAGTGTGTTGGAAATTTTGTGGAGAATAGCAGCTGGATTCATCTGTACGCTTTATTTTACTACTTGTACTACCTCTGCACCTACTACGTGACTCAACTACAGTTGTGAAGACAGGGCCATAGTCATAATCCAAGTCTTGTAACGGTACCGATTGCGGAATTACAATTAAAAAAGTTGAAAAACATACTTTAGATATCACGTCGTTGGACCCATATCTCGTTTTCTTAAGCAATTTTTGAAAAATCTTCATCTTCACCATCCCTTTATTGTAGTGTCCGTAAAAGTCGTTGTACCTGCAGTTATTCTAAGTGGAATGTTTGCCACATGGGCAATAAATGAACGTCAAGGCCTCCAATAAGTTTCCCTCTCAAAACGAATTGTGACAGACTAAGTTTTGCTTGGGCTACCATAATAATCAAGGGGGTTTTGGAAGGTTTGATGATCGATATGTGACGTTTAACGTCCCGAAACCACCATATGATTATGAGAGACGCCGTAGTGGAGGGCTCCGGAAATTTTCACCGGGTTCTGGAAGGTTCAAGCGGACAACCGCCACAGAAATTCAGGGCCACAGAAACGCAGGCTGCACTCCTGAATATCAACACAGCACAGGCATTTTGTAATTCCGCGTGCTTTTATTCACCGTACTTCTGAAGTGTTGCTTAACCATAGAAACCATGGCCATATTTTCCGTAGCCACCATAGCCTCCGTAGCCACCATATCCACCGTAGCCTCCGTATCCACCATATCCAAGGCCGTATCCACCGTAGCCTCCGTATCCGCCGTATCTATGACCGTATCCATAACCACCGTATCCGAGGCCGTATCTTCCGTAACCACCATATCCACCGTAGCCTCCGTAGCCGCCATAACCACCATAGCCGCCGTAGCCACCAAGGCCGTACCCGCCATAGCCGCCATACGCATAGCCAGCCATGGCACCAGCGATCACAGTGGCGAGAACAAGGAATGCAATCTGGAGAGTAAAATACCTTTCTGAGGGGCGTGGATAAAAAGCACACATCGTCATATGGCGTACGCCTCACTCATAGATTATCCTCGAGTTTATCCTAATAAAACATCACAATTAAAATGAGAACTGTGGTTTCAAAAAAAACCCGCAATAATTGAAAAAAAAGGCGGAAGGTCATTGGGCTGAGATTAGAATGAAAAACTGAAAACGTGCCAATGCCAATGACCTTAGCAAGTTCGAGATAAAATGCAATTGTATGTTGAGGCACCAGAATTGAGACATTACGAGGACACATTTCTCTCTACTCCCGATAACTTTCAAGTCCCCTACATATGCTCAGGAGTGGATGCAGTTAATATCTCCTTCTCTGTTTTATTGAACCGCTGTTTTATTGAACGAATGTTCTCCATTATAATATGCTGAAACACCCTGTGTACAGAGCAATCCTTGTTATAAAAACGAATTCTAGGGCTTGTTGGTTCAAGCTGTGCGAAAGTTAATGACGCAACGCAAGGCAAAGAAACAGTGGGCACATAAAAGAAAGCGATTTTGCAGCTCAACGTCAACGTGAGCTCACAAGTTCACTCGCTTTCCTGTAACACTTGGCTCTCTACCTTTCGTTGCGTATTACCCTTTGCTCTTCTCGTTAAATTAGGCCTCTGATTCGTCGCAGGGAGACTATGTTCGGCATGAAATGACGAGAAGTTGATATTAGAAGAGTGGTGTATAATCCATAGTTAAGAACTGTTAATGTATCGCTGCTTACCGTGCACTTCATGATAGGTCTTTCTTTGGCAGCGAAACTCCCGAGAGTGTCGTGGGCGAACGACTGGCAGGAGACGATCTGTTGTTTGTCGACGCCCACTAGTGGTATATATACCCCGATCCCGGCTATTTCGACTGAATCGCGAGAACCCAACCACGCCAAACCTGTATCGGCATGAATGGCGCCAACAGCCGAGGCTCAAAAGTAAGAAAGTAACACGCTCGAAAATTACTTGATCCGTGGGTGACCAGGTCAACGGGAGACAGGAGCAGTTCAGTTTCATTATTTCCTTTGGTGACTCACGCTGGGTGTTATTTTCCTCTTTGAGCTGGACTTGCAGACAAGGTGGGCAAAGAATAACACTTCCTAGGCAAGTGTCAGACGCACGCGCTGTATCCATTTGAGTGAAACCAAGCTGTCTAGCTGTCACCGGCTCAAGATTTGTGCCATTCATTTTTTGCTTGAAGTGGTGTTTTTTTCGCTTCCGTGTATAGCGGAGATTGCTGTTCTGTTGCACATTACGCAGGACCTTCAAGTGCGTTTGCGTGAATACCGTGAGTGCACACCTCCAGGACAAAGTAGATGTAGCTGTAGATCCTGACTTTGTGACTCACACTCACTCTGGGAGATTGGCCAAGAATCGGGTAGCACAACCGAAAATGAATATAGATATTTAAATACGAAGTGCGTGTGGTACAAATTTTTGTGACTGCTCTCATAACAAAATCTGGAAATTTGCACTGCAAGACCACGGATATGATTCTCAGGCATGTAACTGGCGCATACTCGGCTACTCTCTACTACCTGGTGTCCTCGAACGCGCATAGAAATGAAACAATACATGGGCTCTTAGGATTTCGCCTCCATCTAAACGCAACTATGGTGGCTCTGAGTGAAAAGCCAACCTTTGTGTGAGCAGACGCAAACTATAATCATTGTACTCCTGCGACGGACTTTCGACCCTTTAGGCGTGGCCCCACAGTGCTAACCCCGAGATATGACAACAACATAAGTGCATTGGTGGACGTGATGGCCCAAAGGTAATGATATTGTAAGAATGTATGCCAAGCGTATGGTCGCGTTTTCACGATGCACAGTTAGCAGTATTGATGATTCTTTTGATCACTACATGAAAACAGCGATCAAATAAGGTGAGTTTTTTGTGGGCCATTTGGTTGATTGAGGCTGTGGTACTAGAACACGATCCTGACTTTTTAGTAATGACCGATACATGGTTGAAGAAAGATGTACTGGATGCCGAGGTTACTCCTCCCGGATACAAAATCGTGAGAAGAGACCGTAAAACAAAAGGAGGAGGTGTGGCCATTTTAAATAAAGATAATATATTAAGTAGTGTTCTTTCGCATGCTATTGATGTTGAAGCTCTTTGGATTAAAACCACACTCAGTAATCGCTCGGTATACATTGGTGCTATGTATACACCTCCCAACTCTCCAGTGAATGCCCTTGATAACTTAAGAAGATTTATGGATTGCCACCTGAAGCATGATGATAATATTATCCTTATAGGAGACTTTAATCTCCCTGGAATTAATTGGTGGACGCTCACTTCAGAGGGAAGCGAAGTCATTAAAGGTGATCAGCTGCTAGAGCTCACTTTCTGCTACGCTCTGACTAAGGTCGTCTCATCTTGTACGCGTGTGGGTCCAACCGCTTCTTCAGTGCTTGATTTGGTGTTCTTATCTGGATCACTGCTCCAGTTTCTTCGTATGTGTGAAATTGAGGACGGTCTTTCTGATCATAAAATGTTTTTATAGTCTTTAGATCTGTATGACAATGTCATGCACAATGATGAAAACTTATGATACCAAATTTTAGTGCCACAAACGGCTTAGCCATACTAGAACATCTGGAGCAGTCATATTTTTCATTTCTGGAAATGTACTGAACATCTCGTTCAACAGAAGAACTGTGGCGGTTCTTTCATTCTACGATAATGTTTTGCATCCAACAATTGATTCCCAAACGTCGTAAAAATGTGAGAAAGCGCAATCCTTGGATTACGCGCGATATAATACACGCTAAAAGAAAGCTTAAACGCAAGCAAAAGGCGTGCTATGTCAATCCAAGCATTGAAAAAAAGAAGAACATCCAGGTTTTAAGTAAAATCCTCCGGCAAAGTGTGAAGACTTCTAAAAATAAGTTTTATAACTCAACGTTGAAACAATTTCTGAAAGGATTCCCAGACAAATTTTGGAGGTACGTGAATCCTTTTACCAGGCCGAGGAGTATGCCTAATCATAGAAGTAGCAAGGATCAGGCAGAGGCGTTTAATTCCTTCTTCTCGTCAGTTGTTACACTCGATGATGGTACTGTACTCAACATCAGCGATTCCTTAGATAGGATTCCTATCCAGGATATAAGCATCCCTGAAGAGGGCGTTCTAAACCTCTTGCTTCATATAAATACCGAAAAAGCCCTGGTCCTGACAATATTCCCAATAAATTCCTTTATAGATATGCCGAATGGTGATGAAAATTTTTAACATTAATTTTTTAATCATCCGTTAATAGTGGGTCTTTTCCCAGTTCTTGGAAACGTGCAAAAATTGTGCCCATACACAAAAGGTGTTCCGCATCTCACGCTAGCAACTACCAACCTATATCGCTTACAAGCACCTGTTCAAAAATATTAGAGCAGATTGTATCAAAGCACTTGCTAACCTATCTCGATGAACATAATTTAATTGTTTCCTGTCAGCATGGTTTTAGGGAAAGGTTATCCACTGTTACTAAGCTTATTGAGCTTGTACACGACTTATCTAGCACAGTTAATACCCGTGGTCAAACTGACATATTATTTTTAGACTTCGCAAAGGCTTTTGACAAGGTGTCGCACAATGAGCTCTTACTTAAAATTGATAGTACCTTTAAAAATTCTGCCCTCACCCGGTGATTAAGTTCCTAATCTTGCACGTCGAAAACAATATGTCCAACTAGGGCACCACCACTCTGGTTTATCGCCTGTGGTATCTGGCGTGCCCCAGGGTAGTGTCTTGGGGCCCCTCTTGTTACTGGTGTTTATAAACAATCTGCCAAAAAATATTACTATCCAAATAAGAATGTTTGCTGACGATTGCATACTATACAAAATAGTACCGTCACCGAGCGACCAGGCCGAACTTAATCTTAACTTAGAGAGAATTAAAACTGGTGTGATCAGTGGCAAACGCAGCTTAACCCAACAAAAACTGTTTTTATGTCCATTTCTAAAAAAAACATTCTTAGATATCCGTACAGTATTAACGGTCACGAACTTGCTCAGGCTAAGCAATATAAATACCTGGGTCTCGTATTTACCCCCGACATGCGTTGGAATCTTCATGTTGAGGAACTTTGTTCCAAAGCTAACAAGGTGTTTGGGGCCTGAGACGTAACCTCCACTGTGCCTCTCCCGAAGTTAAAACTTTGCTTATAAAACTTTGCTAAGACCCATAATCAAATATGCTAAAGTAGTGTGGGATCCCTATACCCAAACTAACTGTTTGAAACTTGACAAAATACGGCGACTTAGTTCTAGGTTTATATTTAATAAATACCGTCGTTTCCATTCACCTACCGAATCATGCAAACTTGCAGAGCTCCTACCTCAACAAAAACGCACCGAATATGAAAGGCTGAAATTTCTTTTCATGATAGTTCATAATCACGTTAAAATAAGCTGCGACAGGTACTCTGAAATCAAAACACAAAAAACGTCAAGACACAGACACAGTATGTACATACCGCCCCCCAAAGTTCATAATGACTGTTTTAGGTACAGCTTCTTCCCCAGGGCGATTCAGCATTGGAATTCGTTACCAGACTTGGTTGTGAAAATCAAATCGCTTACTGACTTTTTAGAAGCAATAAAACATATAGTGCACTCTGATACCATGCGCTAAGATTGTGAATATGTGTGAATTACGTGCTTTGTAACTAGGCTATGATATTTATTATGTGTTTTATTATGCGCAAAATATGATGGGTATTTCGGCAGTGATGCTTTCTTTTCTTTTTTTCACTAACTTTTCTGTAAACTATATGCTTAGCCATTATGACATATTTGTTGTATGGCCTCTGAAATGATTTGTTCCAGTAGTGAAGGTTCTTTTTCTTATGTTTCTATTATGCACACTTCTGTTTTATATGAGTCAACTCCACTCCTGTAATAGTCCGCAAAGGGCTGACAGTATCAATAAATGAAATGAAATGAAATGACATGATGCATATCTGCATGACCTCAAAAATCTGACCGCCGTTAAATTGAAGCAGTTGACCGATGCTGACGCACCTACGCAAAACAGTTTTCTCCTCAAAAGACACATACATCGCTGTAAATAGAGGTAGGTCGATTGATTATTCGTCTAAAAGTGTACAACAAATTTTTCGTGTGACAACTTGAGTTTTCTGTGCAAAATGGTCGCTGAAAATCGCCTGTGTGCCTCTTTCTATGCCACGGCTCAAAACTGACGAATAAGTGGAACCTCTGAAGACAGTTCTCAATGCCATATTATGCGAATATGCCACTTCTGACGTCCTACTTAAGGTTCCTTATTGTACGACAGTTAGCACCACTTCTATTTTCCGCCTTTGTACTTTTCCTCATGGAGGTTTTTTCTTACAAAACTAAACGTATTCGTAATTGATGAAGCATAATATTTAAATTTATTTAGACTTCGTATTGCTTTTATTGTCCCTTAAATTGCATTATTAGAATTGCATTTATTACAATTTGTTTTAGTTTTATTAACACACAGCACTTGTCTTGCACTGTGCTCTGAAGATACTGACATTTTTGGGTGTATCATAATCACTATAAGGTTTTGACTCATATAGCCTCCGAAACCATCAAATTAACTTATATTAATTTTTTTGCGAAGTGACAATGCAAATTTGATTTAAGTTGTGACAAATACATTAGGATTTGCTCATGTAAATACCCACACTGTACTCATTTTCTGCTTAGCTCAAATAACTTCAGCATTATCTGAATCACTACAGTTCCCACTATTATTCTCTATAGTCATAAAAAATGGATCCCTTAGTTGGTACTTCATTCTCTA